GGCTGGAATAAAGCTACTGCAGAGGCTAGACCTCGGGCTAAAGATAATATAATCTGTGCTTTAATTTGCATTTTACATTGTTATAGCATGGAGAGTTAACATCAGTCAAGACAGATGTACAAGCTGTTTGTTTCTTGTGATTACAATGCAGCTATGTATATATAATTCCACTTTTTCCCAAAATCAGTCAGCAACGTCAGTCAGTAAATGTCAAAATGAACAATCTTGGGCTCTATGGATAAAAGAAAAATAACATAACAATGAGCCAGAAACTACTAATGATACTGAACCTGAGCAGCCTCTAGAAGTTGTATTTTAATAACAGATATAGTCTTGTCTGAATACAGGATCAAATAACCCAAGTGATGCAACGAAGTGCAGCGTACTCCGGTGTAAATATGTAAAACTTCTATAATAAGTTTATATAATGCTGCTTTTCTAAAACGTAATTGGTTCTTGTTAGACGGACTCTTCAAAGTCCTCCGTAGCTGTGAGAGTTGTCCATTATCTATAAGGATGAAGGTAGACGTTGCATCACAAATGGAAACAAGACTAATTAGAGGCACCGCACTCCAGACAGAGTGCACACTTGAAATCCCATCATGATTTTCTATAATGTGCTACGGGTTTTCAAACCGCAGATGGTGGCTTTCTTCTAAAATGTTTGGATGTAGGTTTTTTTTCATTTAAAAGTTGGAGAATGACGTCCCTCGCTGTGTTGGTTAAAATTTAAAAAAAGACCCTTGAACCTCTTTCCAAACTTACTAAAAAGGACATATTAGAAAAAGATGGTGAACCAAAAACAGTATTTATTCTGATTTTTACCATATTGTACTCAGTTTAACTGGTAATTTCATTTCCTCAGCTACTGTAGGACTTACTTACTATCACATGTATTTACATCTAGACCTTCACTTCTAGAAAACATAAAATGATCCGTTAGATTACAGCATTGTTATAGAGGCGCCACAACATTCTGTTTGAACATTTAGGCCTCAAAAATAATGATCCAATAATAAACTGCCAGATCCTCCTGAGAACCGAGGAAAAAATATGTTTTGTTGCAGTCTCCATTTTGTCTCAGCATGAAAACAAAGTTTCCATCATTCCGCCCAAACAAATGAGATATCATGGGAGATGCCAGGATGTCCTCTACTGAGCGCATCAGGACTCAGTAGG